CCCCAAAACCCCAAAACCCCAAAACCCCAAAACCCCTTTTCTTGATAGTGGGATTGAAAAATTGATCAATAAGACTTTACGGAATTATTCGATATTTGAAGTTAAATACCAAATTATGATAATTGCATTACCTGGCTATTACAACAGAGCTGAGTTAGAGTTTTGAGGCAAGATCTTACTCAGATTGTCCGTTTGGGAGCCTAAATTACTTGGAGTAGCCCCTCTAGATTCAAATTCTATCTGCTTTTGAATGGCTCTTTCCAGTTGAAGTGTCATTTTCTTAAGTTCTTCATGATCTAGAAGATCGATCAGAACGGAAATTAAGGATTCTTACCATTTGATATAAACCCATCCTTCTCTTGGACTGTCTGAACCCCGATGCTCTCATCTCACACTTTTGACTTAGAAAACCTAGGCAAGGGGCCCTTTAAAGGAATTTTAGAGCCATGGGTATGACTAGTCACATTAAGCTTGGACTCCTCCTGCAAAGCAGGAGGTGCAGAAACCTGTGCTGGCTCAACGGTATTAAATAAGCTAATGATACAATGGTTCTCCCTTAGCTTCGCGAGGGAGTAAGCATCTATCCCATTTCAGTTTTTCGCAAGCTTCTCTTCGTGGTTACTCACTTTCAGTATGCTCTCGACCGCAAGCTCGTTGTGATTATTAATAGCTGTATGGATCAGTTTGTCCCCATTTGACAATGTTGATTTTAATAGTACCTTCATCACTCTTGGACAATCTAATCATGATTCAAACAATTTATGATTATGCACAAAAACAATATAATGAAGGTAGTCAAACCTAGTTTTGGTGAATCTCATTTCATCAATTCTTGGGAAATCATCAAAAATACTTTCGATCTCTTCATCAGATTTAAGCCTCTTCTGGACAATGACGGTTTCCTTCTGGCTTTCACTCCTAGTGGACTTTCCTGCTCCCATGTTGAATCAGAAGTTTTCAATTTTTTTATAGAAGATAGGGGTTTTGGGGTTTTGGGGTTTTGGGGTTTTGGGG